CTTCGCCCGGTCCACGAGGAACCTGTACATTTGTGTCAGATATGTTTTAATGTCTGTAACTTCTTTGAACATTAGTGCTGAAGTTTTACAACTGAGTGGAATAATCAGAAGTGTCGTAGTCATGTATTAACTATCGATGTGTGTGTGTGTGTGTGTGTGTGTGTTGGTGTGTGTACAGCTGTGTGATTGTGACATCCTCGTCTCCATCCCATGTAGTATAAAAGACATTCATATATGTACACATAATACGATAGCTATTTATCTATGATCTGAAGAAAGTGTAATTTATTTCTTTGTTTTGAGGAGCTGTAGGACTTTATTTGCCTCCTCAAGATGTTCTGAGATTGTTATTATCGATATATACCGATATGTTTATCCTGTAAAAACAGAAAACCGTGTGAGAAATTATTCTTTTGGAGCTTCTTTTTGAATAAAATCAAGTAAAGTAAAGAGCTGACGCGTGGCCTTTGTTTTTGTGAATAAGTTGCCGCTTGTGTCCAAACGATGGCACCATCGAGACGTAAATGACCAGAAGACTTATTTGTTTTAGTAAAAAGTCTGCTGGTAAAATATTAACTGCAAAGATGGTCTTATTATCAGCTGAACAAACAATGGCCTTGGGGGGGGGGGGGGGGGGGGGATAGTCTACATTTCCCAGTGTTAGTGTTTTGCCCAAGAAACTCAGTAGAAAAAAGTTTAAATAAATTAAATGAAAAACTAAACAGACTCATTTTATTTAAGTTGTTACGAGATGATTTGAAACGCAGAGTGTCGGCATCACTGAAAGAAAGAAACCCGATAGCTAAAGGTTTTCTCATTCTGTGTCACGGTTGTGATCGAACCCAGTATCCAGATGCATTTGAGGAAATCACAAGAATAAAACATCAAAATTCATGCTCAATAATCCAGGTAGAAAAATCCAACAGTTAAGTCAGGTCCTCTGGATGATTTATTTTTGTTGTTGTAATGTTTTGTCTTTCATCCAAAGGACTTCATCAGTCTGAGGAGCCACAACAAACTCAGTCCCACAAGCAGCACGCTCACATAGTGGACCAACCAGGCCATGGCTGCCTCAGAGGAGTTGACAGGGGAGTGGGTGGACTCTAGAAATCATGTTATCATCATCAAACTGGTTGGTCCACTATGTGAGTGTGCTGCTTGTGGGACTGAGTTTGTTGTGGCTCCTCGGACTGATGAAGTCCTTTGGATGAAGATGAAACGTTTCAAGAAATAAAGAAACCGTCCAGAGGACCTGATTTAACTTTGTGGCAATTTTATTTTATTTTTTTAAGCTGGCATGACAGAATAATTTAAAGTCGCTTGAAGACACGGAGGAGAACCAAATGTGTCATGAGAGCAATGATGCTCAACCGGTGAAGGGTTGAGGACTGAAGGACTGAGGCTGATGAGTGGAGTGGCTGCAGCTGCGACAGGTTGAGAAAAGCTCTGAGGGAGGCTGACGGCTCAAATGGAGGAGCTCAAGTGTCTGAACGTCTTGTTCACGAGTGATGGAATGGAGCAGCAGATGCATTAAAGGGCTGTAATGAGGGCGTTGCTTCGGTCGGTCGTGGTGAAAAAAAAAAGTTGAGTCGAAAGGCAAAGCACTTGATTTACTGGTTTGTCTACATTCCAACCCTCACCTACAGTCATGAGGTTTAGATCATAAGCTGATGAGGGGGATGTGTGGGTTTCTCTCCTGGACCAGCTGTCTCCACGACCCGACTTCAGATAAACAGTAGAAGATGGAGCTCAGTAAATATCACAAAAGGCATCAAACAAACCCAGTGTTTGTAAATTCTGCTCAGTCTGGTTCAAACATGATTTAAACCTGCATTATTTTTACCAGTTTATATAAGTTTGTATAAGCCCTATCTAGTTTTTGGTCAAGTAGTAATTATTAGGTAAAAGAATATAAGGCAGGTTTTAACGAGACTTGTTATGGTTGTCAACGTTTAAAAGTATCAGCAAGTAGATTTGTATCTGGTGGCAAAAGCCTGAAAATACATGAGAAATTGCTATTATTCAAGACTTTTTTTTTAAATAAATAATTATCCTGAAATCAGTTTATAAAACATAAAAAATGTACAACTCCAGTTTTGAAAATGTCGGCACATTGCATAAATAAAAACCGAACTGAATGATAAGTTAATCTCATGATGTTATTCACCGTGGAACATGCTGAGCAAATCAAACGTATGAACGAACGGAACGACTTTTTAAAGAAAGAAGGATAAACTTGAGTTTGATGGTATCATGTTTAGTGAGGAGTTGAACCCAGGGGGCAGACAAAAATGCTGAGAGGCTCCAGGGTGAAACTAACACATTAATTTATGTACAAACAACAGAAAATAAAGGCGGGCGTGGCAGCAAAATACTCACAGGAATGAAAAACCTGGGAAGACATGGAGAACCAAACATGAACGGCTTAGAAGGCATGATGCACGGACAAGGAACTAACAAAATGACAGACACCACCAAACACCCAGGGTGATTACTGAGTGGGGACAGATGAGGGGGGCGGACTGGGGATGAAATGAGAAATGACACAGGAACACAGGAACACAGGGCAAACTAGAAATAAACGATGGCACAGATTGTGTTGTAAAGCGCTTTGAGCATCCTGGTTGGATAAGTCTCCATTTATCACCAAGAAGACCTCGTTGAACAGCTACAATAAATCCAAAACCTTCTCTTTGGGCTTCCTCTTTGTCTTTTTCCTGGCAGATGCTTTTCTAACATCCTTCTACCAATATACCCACTGTCCCTCCTCTGGACATGTCCAAACCATCTCAGTCTGGCCTCTCTAACTTTATCTGCCAGTTGTTCCATCTGTGCTGTACCTCTGATGATCTCATTCCTAATCTTATAAGGAGAACCTCAACATCTTCATTTCTGCCACTTCCAGTTCTTTCTCCTGCCTTTTTGTCAATGCCACCGTCTCCAGACCATACAACATTGCTGGTCTCGCCACTGTCTTGCAAACTTTTCCGTAGACATTTGCTGACAGCAATTTGTCACAAATCACTCTTGAAACTTTTCTCTTTATTTCACCTCTTTACCACTGCCCACATTCCTGGACAGTGGACCCCAAGTTGAAGTCCTGTAGCCTCACTGTTCCACCGGCCTCCCTCTCATTCACACACGTACACTACAGTTTACGTTCTTCTTTCAAGTGTATACCTCCACCTCTCCAAGTTCTCTTCCACCTGTTCTCACCACAGATCACAATGGCATCTGCAAACATCATAGTCCAAGGGGATTCCTGCCTGACCTCATCTGTTAGTCGGTCCAACAAGAAGGGGCTCAGAGCCGAACCTTGATGCTTTTTAAAGATGGGTTGCCATAATGTTCAAAATTATCCTAAATTTCTCCTAAAATTCAAATGCTTCATCCCAACGTGAAATGTTGCATGTTGTGTTTTGCCAGCTTCAGGTTTTCCTTCAAAAAGCTCAATAAGAAGCTGTTTGAACACCCCTCACCCCCGTTTTTTAACTGATGCGTGCGTGAAAGGCTGAAGGGGTGCAGCTATATGGTGAAGGGTGCTAGCTCGGGGCACGAGTCAAGGTCGCGGCAGATGGTGACCTTTTGCAATACATTACCATGAACCGCGTGAACCCTTTCTGCGTGAGACTCGTGCGGGTTCACTGGGTTCGTTTTCTTCATCTGAAGAAAATCGAACGTGCTGTTAGGATGTTTGCATTAGTTTGAACATAGCAGCTCAAAGTCTGCAGCTTTTGCACAGAGCAGCGCGTAAAGGAGGCCAACTCCACCCCCGAGGTGTCTCTCTCTTCACACTCAGTCACACATTTCGCTCCGTGCGTGTGGGAGCGTGATTTTTGGGCTCGGGCTGAGCTGGGCTGTAGTAGTCGTGACGGCGTGCACGTCGTCGAGAACGCGCCTCGGCTTAGCGTTAAAGAAGAAGCCGGCGTTTTTCAGCACCAAGGATAGAGGAGCTCGCGGCGAGAACAATAGGCGGCTGCGCACGCCGCGCTGCAGCTTAGGCGACGTGTGAAAAGTTTACACCCGCACTTCTGGGAGGTTTAAGCATTTTCAAAATGCTTCAAAACATCCTACTTAGGCGAGCACATTGCTCACAAGCACATGGATGTAGCTAGAGGGACTTTAAAGGCTACTGCGTATTCCTAAACGTATTTTTCGTGTGAGCGCGCTGAACACATTTACTGACGGTCCCTTAAAGCTACGTCACGAGCCGGCAACCGCTCCAGTGTTGCCAGGTGTACGATAGTTTTCGTATTTATATTTACACGACCTGCCAGACAGTGTGCTGGCCAGAACACACAGACCCCTCCTCTCCCGTGAGCATGTTCGGTGAACACACACCTCTTCTCCCCGTTGACCGAGAAAGAGCAGCCACACTTGGAACAAACGGTAGTTTTTGATGATGATAAAAAAACAATACGGTCGTTTTAAGGAGACTGTACGACATTTCGTCATTTTTTCCCCATCTGGCAAGCACCGCGCATGGAGGTGGGAGGAGGGCGACAGAAGAGCGAAGGGACAGATAACCGCCGAACGCGCGAGACACTAAAAATAATAAAATAATAAAACGCAGAATAGATAGAAAAAAATGGCCCATTTTATGGTGGGGACAACTCATACAAGACTTGGAGGAGGCTGTAACCAGCAGTCGAGTTAAAACAAGCGGGACAAACAAAAAGTAAACATAAAAAACAGCTAGTTAAAATAAACTCGTAGCTTCGATGAACTAGCTAGCTCCGTCCATGCTGGATTTATTTATTTATTTTTTAAAACTCTGAGAGGCTGGTGATAGTGATAAGCAGTGTCACCTGCCAGAACTGTGAACACACTCGGGCTTTAATTTGTGTGTGTGTGTAAAAACACGGTCGAGCCTGTTGTAGTGTGCACCGAGGAGGAAGAGGAGGAGGAGGAGGAGGAGGGAGCAGGGCTGGCACAAAGAGCGGAGAGCATCCAGAGAGGGAAGGCTGGCGGACGGGACGGTGAGGACAACAGCGGGGACCAGCATCCTTCTTCTGTTTCCGCATCCAGGCAGCATTTATTCAGGGTAAGAGCGCTAAAGTGTGTAAACCTTATAATTCTATTGTTTTGTTCTGGCCTAAATGCATGCGTTTGTTTGCGTGCGTGTGCGCGTGTGTGTGTGTGTACATTGAGAGGGGAGCGGACAAAGAGCATAGGAGCCCCCCCATGTCATATGCTGTGTAACCTACAGCTGCCTAAACAAAGAAGCTGCTCCATTTACACCAACTGAGGTTGTTTCTTCTCTTTTCTTGTCCTCAGGGATCCCAAACACCACCCGTCCACTAAAAGGTGATTCTACCTCCCTGATATTTTATTTATTTATTTTTAGATATAGTGTTTTAATTGGAGAAAATAGCCATTATGATTGACTAATTGACATTTGCATAATTGTTTCCCTCAGAAGCTACTGGAGCTCTTTGTCACCGACTGGGATGTATATATATATATATATATATATATATATACATATATATATATATATATATATATATATATTACATTCACGTGTATGAATTATTTTTAATTTTATTGTGAATTCATTGAAGGCTATGACTGAATTGTATTACTTGAAATATTGATGAATGGTGTTAACTTTTTCGTGTTTTCCATTCGGGCTGTGCAGGTCCTGTCCACCAACAGCTGTTCCTCTCCAGGGATAACCTGGTTCTGATCCGTTCGCCTCTCAGCCCTCGCAGCCATCTCCTCCACTTTGTCCCAATGAAGGAGGCCGACGCCATCAAGTTGTTCGTGGGCCAGATCCCCCGGAACCTGGAGGAGAAGGACCTCAAACCCATTTTCGAGCAGTTTGGCAAGATCTACGAGCTAACCGTGATTAAGGATAAATACACGGGGATGCACAAAGGTAGGTCTCACCCCCACCTAGAACTGAAACGGATGCTGGAAAAGAAACGAGAAGTTCTGGAGAGACAGACAGATAGATGTGTGACAGCGCAGCAGATAGACAGGAGGGTTTTTCTGCGCTGACTGTCAGATGTAGCCATGGAAACTACCACGGCGCCTCTCGCCTTCGCCGCCTGTTAGCACTGCGGTGTAAGATCACGAAGCCAGGCGAGCAAACTGCTAGGGCACGTACGCTGAATGAAAAGGCTTTAATAACGTGGAGGTGGCAAAACTTCACGCAATACATATTTAAAAACCAATTGAAATTTTTAAACATAATTGCGACACTCCACTGAAAAATACCTAAAACAGTTGTAAAGCAGGCCTCAATAATATATGACGTGTCATCCTAAGAGCCTCTTATTAATATTAATAATTAGAAAGCTTTAAAAAAAGGTAATAAGCTCAGGATCAAACCCTCTCTCTGACACATGTGCAGTTAACCGGGGTCCTTGGTGTTACATGAACCAGATTAGACTGTGTGCTCCAATCAGAGTAATGGGCCTGTAAGCCTGGGTGAGACAAGGGAAATAATTTGTTGTTTAGAGAATCCCCTACAGCCACAGTAAGCCCCTCTTAAAAGCAATGAGATGCACCGGAAGATGCACGTCTCTCTGTGTGTGTGTGTGTGTGTGTGTGTGTGTATTTGTCATGCACTTTTTTTGTGTGAGTCCTAAATATCTGTAAATACCTTTAATCATTTCCAGGTTTTATGTTGATTCATGATGAATTAGGCAGATTTACAGCTGGCGTGAATTAACGTCTGTAATCTGAATCTGCACTGGTCCGTGTGAACAGATACTAACATGCTGCTAATCTTGTTGTCTCAGTGCTGGTGACAGGTGTAGTAAACAGCTCTGGCCAGCAAGCTCCTCTCCCCACCCCTCCCTCACACTCAGGAGCAGGTACAGCACATAGGAGAGCAGCGGGCGTGTGTTTGGAGTGATCGTGAGGCATGCGTAGTGGTTTGGATAGGGCAGGAAGCTGGCATGGCCCCACACACACACGCCTGTGGTGCTGTCATGTGTTCCGACTCGTGCCGTGGAGTGTCCTCCTCTGCTCCTATCCAGTATAGTTACTCTTTAGTGCATGATGATCTACATTTTTAATTATCCTGCACAATCTTCCAAGGGAGAAGTCAGACTGAGAAATGGGTAATTAGAAAAGGAAACAGTAAAAGAAACATGTAAAGTGTTGGAATGATGTGTGTGGTTGTAGGGGGTCAATGAAGAAAAGAAATAAACAGAGAAAATAACAAATTTCTAGCCCAGTAGCCGACCTCCTCTAACATCATTCTCTTGTTCTTTTCTTCCTCTTTGTCTGCCTCTTTCTCTCTGACAGGATGTGCGTTTCTGACGTACTGCGCGCGAGAGTCGGCCCTGAAAGCCCAGAGCGCTCTCCACGAGCAGAAAACGCTACCGGGGGTACGTGCGCAAAAAAATCAAACAAACACTCGTAAACACACACATCCCCACAAGACACTGCACACACCACGCTTACGCAACAATGCACAAAATCTTGCATGTGCGTTCATATCGCACAGCCCACCCCCTCTCACCGACGCACAAACACACAGCCAGCTACACGCATATACAAATACACACATCTGCGTGTTCCCATTAGTAACATTGTGACATAACTCAGCAGCCGGCAGGCGTCTTGCTGCTAAGGACAAACACTCCCTCTCACTGGAGACATACAGGGGACTCCATGAGCATTATCATCTCCATTTCTCTGTCACTCCATCTCCCTGCCGTTCCCTCCGTTAGCCTCCGGTGATAGCTCCCGTCTAGAGAGTGTGTGTAATTAATGTGACCGTTCCCCTTTGTCTCAGCCCAGGCTCCCTCCAGTCTCTCTAGTGAGGGATTGTGAGCTACGACTGTGCAGGAGTAGGACACCGTTCATTATGAAGAGGGGAGGCTTTACCTTTCTGTCTTTCCTCTTTTCTTTTCTCTCTCTCTCTCTGACCTGATTTCTGCAGCAGGATTTTTACAGTATCTGTTAAGTGAAGCCACAGCCAACGTGAAAATGCGTAACGTTTAGTAGAAGTCACTTTTTTTCCCAGCCGTTATAACGTAGTGTGACCCTGGCATCGTTGAATGTCTCTCCGTTTCATTTTCTCCACGTTGCCTTGCGAGTGATCGGACTTTCGGTTCCTGCACCTTCTCTGCAAGCTGGAGCGTTGATAAGATCTCTGTGAGAATATTGTTGAAGGAGAGCCTGAAGAAAGGGCGCTGGGGGAAGGGAACTGTTCTGACACATATGAGCACATATCCTCGTGTACATACATGGAGCAATGATGCACGCTGCTCCACGTAGCTCGGAAAAGCTTTTGTACTTGCACACTAAAGCTCACACATACAAGCTGTGCGTTTATTATGACATTAATCCAATTAGGGAATGCTAAGAAGCCTGACCTCTCTGCATTTAAATAACCTCTTTGCTGGCTTATTTACCTTTCCTTGTTTTCCACCCTGCTGCCTTTTGTTCATTGGTTTGTTCTTATAACCATCCGCTGCGTTCTTCATCCTCTCACGCTCATGATACTTCCGTAACTGAAGATTTTTGCCAAATCTCTAAATAAACTTAAAATAAAAAAATCTGAAAGCACGGGAAATACTTTAAGGGAGGATGCTACAAAAATGGTCTCTCTAGAGTAAGATTTGTACTAACAAAAAAGGTTAAATCATGTCATCTGGACCAGTTTCTTTGAGGGAGAAACATTTCGTCTTCCATCCGGAAGACTTCATCAGTCTGTGGCCTGCCAACCAGATCTGTCTCATAAATAGCCTTCATTGCTGTAAGACTTGTACTCAAACCAGAGTTTGCTTATTATGTGCTGGTGTTTCCTTAAGCTTAGTCTGTAAAAAAAACCACATGCATTTTTGTTTTTCAGTTTCTTTGAGGTTTATCTAGCATTATATATGTCTAGGTAGAGACAAAAGTCCTAAAAGGTACCCAAGAACAAAGAAAAAATTGATAAAAAACATATTTTTGTACTCCGTTTTCAATACATACCATTCAATACAGTTTTCGTACACGATAACCGCGGTGGGTGTCTTAAAGTTGTTAATATCTCTTGCTTGCAGGTTTTACAGATCATCGTTGTGTAGTTGTTTCTATTAAAACCTTGGTAATCATTTTGGTACACGAGTTTAAGTTTGATATCGTTTGTGAAGGTTAACGTCTAATACTGTTCTCCTTAGCTTGAACAACCACTTCACTGTATCCTCGGCTTGGGTCTTCTGTCACGTTCTACCTCTCTTTATTTATTGTCCTCCTCTGTTCTGTGCTCCCCTCCCTCCTCTCTGTTGCCTTCCTTGATAGGATTTAGAAATGACTTAGAAAAATGCTTCATTCTCTTTCATCCTTCTACCCATTGTCCTTTTCTTTCCCCATCACATGCTTTTCAATCTTTCCCTTTCCTTCCCCTTCAGCCCTCAAAATCCGTCCCCTCATTCCATTATATCCCGTTTTTCCCCCTTAAACCCCTTCTGTTCCGTGTTCAGCTCCTCCCCTCACATCTTCCAGTTTCCTTGCACCAGTAGGATATTACTGAATGTTCTCCACACCACCCCCAACCTGCTCGTTTTATGGTATCCCATTTTTCTCCCCCCATCCCCCCTTTTTTCCCGCTATTTTTTCCCTCTGCTTTGCTCACTCACTTTCTGCTCAGAGTCTCATTTCACAGTCATTTATGGTAACTCTTCCTAGTCCTCCTCTCAACCCCAGTCCTACTTTCTACCACCCCCCACCCCCTCCGCAGTTTCTCTACCCCCTCATCTCATTTCCTTTCCTCTTGATTAGTTGACCCCTTTGACCGTTTCACCCCCGCCACATCTTTCCCATCTCCACTCCTTCCTCCATTCGCTTTCTGTACGCCTTCCTCGGCTCCATCTGCTAAGCTGCGTGATAAGTTTTTTGCAAACTCATTTTCATAGTCAGATCCAGGGCATCACCGTGGGATAGGAAGACTTTGGGTGTGTGAGAGGTGGTGTTAGTGGGATCACATTAAACTGCAGAAAGCAGAGGAACACAATGTACCACAAGAAACGCTAAAAACGAGTAGCTTCGCTCCTATTCTGATTCGTTTGACAGCCAAGCAATTAAAAGTGTGGTGACAACTTCTACCTATCAATCTCTAATGGGATTACTGTATATCTAATAGAGCAGTTCAAACAAGACAGCAGAGCCAGAGAGAAAGCCTAAAGAGGTATGCTTTTACCTCAAACGTCCTTGCTTGCTTCAGCAGAAGCAATAGACTGTCAGACTGGAAAATGAGAAAAAGTACAGAGGGACTGAGCAACAGAGAGAGAGAGAGAGAGAGAGAGAGAGAGAGAGAGATGAACAGATGGCCTTATCTGCGAGTCTGTGCCTTTTGTTTAATTTGGTTTCAGAAAGAGAGAACGAGGGAGTACAACACGAGGAGAGCTAGAGCTACAGTAGCAGCAGTTTGACAGCAGAACCAAAGTCAAGTCACATCGTAGTTCACGGATGAGGTGCAGAGTTTTCTCTCAGGGGTACACTCATCCATACGAAAGACATACTGTACTATTGTTTACTTTGAAAACTTAAGCACTTGTTTGCATCAGTTAGTTTCAAAGATTTGTAATAAAAGGAAGTGCTCTCGTCAGTTTTGGTTTTCTTATTTATAATCAGAACGTGCTCTGTGAAGGAAAACGACAAGAGATTCATTTTTCTTACTTTTATCAGACGGATCTGTCGCTGCAGACTCGAAGCATATTTACATACAGTTTAGTAAAAGCTACGTCGAGATGTCTGTTAGTTTGTATTGATAGTTTAAAAATAAAGTGTCGATAGCCGGTGACGGTGTGTGTGCAAGGTCAAAGGTCAGAGGTTGCTGATGGGGGCTGGGGTTACAGCAGAGGCTGCTGTCAGAGCTGTAAAATACTCCTTCTAGGAGAACATTACGTCCAGTATGCACATTGCTTAGATTAAATGGTAATTTTTACATGTTGCTACTTTTGTTCAATTAGAAAACATAGTTTAAATGTTTTAGTCCAGATTTAGTGTTTTGTTCTGTCCAGTCTTTTCCATACGTTGTCCTCTGACAGTCACAGCGTATATAGGTTAACTTATTTTGTGAAAAATTAACATTGAGATAATTTCTTCATTCATCCATGTGCCCTCCCTCCCCCTTTTCATCAAGCCATCCCGGTTAGATTTTAACTTCCCCTCCTTATCAATCACTCTATCTCTCCCTCGCTTACTGCTGCCGTGTTTCCTTTTATATCGTTTCTCTTATCTGTTCTTTTGTTCTTCCCTGTTGATATCTCCCTCTCTCCATTTAATCTCCTCTCTCTTTGGGTTTATCGCTCTCTTCATCTTTGTGCTACTTCAGACACAACTTGTTTACACACGCGCATGCATGTACGTGGTTGTGCACATGAGCGCACGCGCACACACACACACATCTGTTTGGTCATCCGCAGATCTTAGTGTAGGTGAAATTAAAGTGTGATAAGCAGCTTAGCAGGTGTGTGTTGTCATGCTTCGCTGCTCTCTAGGCAGTTTTTTGCTCCCTGTTTTTTTGATTAAAGCCAAAACAAAGCTCCAACACACACACACACACACACACACACACACACACACACACAGATTCAGCCATTGTATTCCTCACGACACGCTGAATACTTATAAATTATTAAAAAGGCAGAAGTGCCACAAGACATGCAGTTAACAATAAGTGATCCGGCAGGAGATCGATACGTGTATAAAAAAAAATAATAACAGTTTGTAGGTTTGATAATGATTCGACGCAGGTGGAGCCAATAAATGTAAATAGTGTAGTGTCATGGTTACAGCTGTAAACATGACACGAGCTGTTTGATTCTCTTTTTATTGAGCCTGTGTCCCCTTTGGACGAGGACAAGTGAATTTATGTATGTCCCTGACTGAGAAGGCTGTACTTTTTATGCATGCAGGATGGACCTGCAGCTCAATGGTGATGCTGTTGCTGCTTCATGTTCAGCTCTTACATCACTTTTTTGTTTTTGTTTTTTAAGGCCACGGAAAAATATATAAATAAATACTGCAAATATCTGAATGTAATTGTTTTTTTTATAAAGTAGTTGAGCCTTTTAGTAGGTCAGTAATGTTAGTAGACAGTGCACTATCTTTGCATCTATCCATCATCCTGTATGTGTTGTTGACGCTTATCAGATCCACTTAGCCTGTTGTGTATGTTCTGTGTGTGTTTTCATGTGGAATATAAGAAGCCTGCCAGACAACCTCCCTGTGGGGGAAAGCTATGATGGGCAATTATCCACTAGGGCAACTTTGTAGGCTAATTTTGCATATTTATGTGGTCAACAGCACTGTTTACTATTCCCCTTCACTGCTTACTGCTGCATTTTCCATTTAAAACAGATCCCAGTTTCTTCTCCCTCTCTCTGCCTTTGTG